CTCTTTATGGGCGGTCTTTTTACGTACTTTTCTGTTGAACAATACAAATGAGTGGCTGGGATTGATCATCTTCAACAATGTTAAGGGTCGATGGTTTCTCAAGCAGTTGTCGAAGTTTGTTTAGCTCGTCAGTCCATTCTCTTAGCTCCAGCTCGGTATAATCATTCAATTCACGACTCAATGCTAATTCATTCTTGACTTTGTCGAGTGGTTGTCTTAATTCAGTTTTTGTTTCACTCAAATACCTGTTTAGATCAGTTCTTGCTTTTCTTGCCACTTCTTGAATCTTCTTAATTGATGCATTCTCCCACTCATTAATGCGTAAATGGAGTGGATGTGTAACATTATTTTCAGTTAATTGTTTGTGAAGGAAATCATGTTGTTGACCGACATGATCCATCTTTTCATCAAGTTCCTGTCGATGTTCTGTAAAACACCTGGTACAAAACCATTCCTCGCATCCACCACAAATAGTAATACCTGCACCTTTATTACATTTGATGCAAGACTTTCTAACTCTACCTGTTGCCATAATTCACTAATTAACAATAGTTACAGATTTAAGTTTTTATCCGTAAACAACGTAATCTGCATGCTATGCTGACTGTTTCCAAACACTCTAAATTTCTAGTTGATACGAGTAGAATAATCACTAAAAAATAGAAATATGATAACGAAGACACGTGTCTTGATGTGGATTGAAGCGACTTTATCTGAGAAAAGTAAAATATAAAATGGCACATTATCATACAGAAAAAACATTATGATAAGAATAGAGTTTCTTTTTCATCAATCTTGAAACGTATATCTTAGGATACTAAAAGATACTGCAAAAATATGGGAGTGAGATTACGAGTGAAAAAGTGTGCTGCAACAAAACTGCAATTCAATGTTAACAATAGAAAATCGAAAGCGACAACCTTAAGGTAGTTCTCTCTCAATGATCAATACAGCCTGACAAGCTTGCTTTTTTTGGGCCTGATATCTGCCTCACGAAGTCGCCATTAGTTCTCATCTCCAACTCTTGCCTATTCCAAAAATACTTCAGACAAAATAGTGTCAAAAAAGAGTGTGATAATGGAGGTATAGATGAACGTGAAGACAGAATTCTCATCCTAATATGCTCAAACACCCACACTCTGAGTCTACTTGAATAAATCGGGAATTGAACCTTGTAAGTTCTGGCCAGTCGAGAAAATTTCACGGAGATTGAGATATCAAAACCACTAAATGCTCCGACCTTTGGATACCTGCATTCATCCCATGAAATGCAGCATTTCAATTTGACAAAGATATCGCAAGCAGAATTCCTATGGAGTCCCGGTAAGAACCTGTTGGATCTGACTTGTATCCAACGAGATTCAGCACTCTATTTCCGGCAAGTTTCTTTTAGAAAACTAGTAAATTTCGTCGGGTTATTCACTTTCGTACCTACTTGGTCAAATTTTCGAAAGCATCGTGTTTTTATGGGTCTCCCAAATTTTTCTCTGTCAGGATAGATGAGTCATATTCTCGGTGGATACTTGGTCAATCATTCAGGCATCTAGCTTCATGATTTTCTGACTGGAAAACTTAAAAGAATGGTAAGAACTGGGAAATGGTATTCTGATGCATTTGTGTTCACTGATAGGCTCTGTTTCGTTACGGTTGTTATCTCCAGAAAGCAGGGAAACCGAGTCACTAGATCCGGACATGGTATTTCTGCTTCCAATTTCCTATTATTTTCCGAAATCCTTCGGACGGAACCAGTCGTGCATCACACATTTGGGATAAAGTGTGCATGAATAGCAAGGGGGGAAAAGCAGATTTTGGCGTCCAAAATCTTTCAAAATCTTCAAAATCTTTCAAAATCTTTCAAAATCTCTCAAAATCTTTCAAAATCGCT